ACGTCGCTATTCACATCTATCCCACCAAACGTGGCCCGCGAAGTCTTGCGCAAGAGACTTGAAGAGGCGTACGATGAGACTCAGAATGCCCTCAAAATTGAACACCTCATGAGGCTGTTTGAATTCTGCCAACAAACTTTCTTCACTTTTGCGGGAGAGACCTATGAACAAATCAAGGGAACCCCTATGGGCTCACCGGTCTCCGGTTTGGTGGCAGAACTGGTCCTACAGGAGTTGGAAAAGATTGCCTTCCTCCAACATGAACCGGTGTTTTGGCGACGTTACGTTGACGACACGTTCGTCATCGTAAAGAAGGACATGCTGCAACATTTTCACAGCCTGCTCAACGCAGTCTTCCCGGATATAAAATTCACGAGAGAAGAAGAACAGGAGCAGCAGTTGCCCTTCCTGGATGTACTCGTCAGACGAAACCTTAACGGTGAACTTGAAACGACGGTTTATAGGAAGGCAACGAACACCACACAGCTTCTCAGTTTTCACAGCAACCATCCGGTGGCTCACAAACGAAGCTGTGTGAAGACGCTCTTCAAACGGATCCAAACTCATTGCAGCAAACTGGAAGACAGAGCGCGTGAGGCCCGTTATCTCCGCGACCAGTTTGTGCAAAATGGCTATCCGAGGGCATTCATAAGTCGCTGCCTACGCGGTCGCCACCAGAGAACTCAAACATCAACGCCACCGACGATATGGCATGCTCTGCCATACATCAAGGGTGTTTCAGAAGCGACCGAGCGCATTGCTGCGGAGCTAGGGGTTGGAATCGCACACCGCCCCAAAGCCACCATGCGCAACAGGGTCATGAAGATCAAAGACAGGTTAAAACCTGAAGAGCAATCTGGAGTAGTGTATCGCATTCCGTGTCAAAATTGTCCTTGTAATTACACAGGACAAACTGGACGCATGCTCGGATCGCGCATACATGAACATAAGCTGGCTGTGCGGCGAGGCGACGCATTGGCACAAGTGGCCGCCCACACCTACGAAATGGGTCACGAGTTTGACTTCGCTGCCACCAAAATAGTCGCCCACGCCGGAAACAAAACAGGCCGAGAATTGATTGAAGCCTGGGCCTCGGATGAGAACTCGGTCAATCGATTTATCGATCTGGCGCCGGCGTACAGAGCCCTTCGTAGTCACCTCCAGTCGTGCGACGTCGGTCGATGATTGGGTCTACGTGCCTTATAACTGCCGCTTGTCCTGTTTCTGCTACTACCTCTGACGATGGACTCCTGTACGAGTCTGAAAGCTCAGGATAATAAACGAATTGTTCCGGTGCTCGACTCTTCTTCTTCTTCAAATACGAGAACACTGGTGAAGAGAAGGGGTAGGATGTTTTCGACTGCCAGCTGCGGAGCGTGCTCACAACGAATGAGGATGATCTTCCACAGAAGAACTTTATACCAATAGAGAAGACTATGCAGGGACTTCCCCTATGGGTTAGTCAAGGATCCATTTGGAACGTGCTCAGCTTCAAGTCTTTCCTGTGCGGAGGCTCGTGGCCTTCCCTACGGACCTCACTTAATCTGTTGGAACAACTGAGAGTATAGTGCTGGATACTGGAACGGTTTGTATTTATTGCAGCTGGCAGCACCTTCAGTCTTCTCTGTATGATTGTTGCGAGCGTGTTCATATCACGTCGGGGTCACCACTGTTGCGAGCGATAGGGACGGAACCGTCAATCCCGGACTATGGATATCAGGATAAGACCAGAGTTATGAAGGAATTAACAATCAAAAGTCAAACGACCTGACAATCCAACACATGCCGAGCGGGTCGCGTAGAGTTGTGTTCCTCCCATTCAGTTAAACAACCAGTAAGCTCAAGAATGAGGAACAGGTGGGGAAAGGCAAGATAGCTTAGTGCCTCGGAACATGATTACCGTCCAGTCGACTGGGCCAACATCTGTTGACTTTGTCTGCGACGAGCTTAATAGTCCACACTCGGTCACCGTTAGATGTTTAATGGAGCCCTGTTATTGAAAAAGTCAGCGGGGGCGTAAGTTGCCCTCGTCTCTGTCAGCTACGTTCACCAGATTGCTCCCTAGGCTAATGGATGGCGTCACGCCCGTCGTTGCGAGCCTATACGCATCAATTACATCAGATATGACAGTTATCGGTCGGTGTTCTCCTGGTGAACAACAAAATCGGATTGCGAATGCCCGTAAGCCTCAAAGCCGTTCGTTGATTGTCTCCCAATCACCCACCAGGTTGTAGGAACAGCGTCTGCTCTCGTTTTCCCTTTCTGTCGTCCATAACGCAGACGTTCACTTTTCTTTCGTTTTATACAAACACTGCTTGTAGCCATTTCGTGCCATGATTTCCGGGACAGAGGTTTCTGGTTGCGACTTATCTTACCGGTTCGGTTATCTGAT